CGCGTATATTCCACTCTCCTGGACGTAGTCCCTGAACAGTTGCCACCCGCTTGATCCGAGCATTGTTTCCAGAGCCGGCGCCCTACGCTTTCCGCTTTTCAGCCGCCATGTTGCCATGTTGCCATGTTGCCAGTGCTTTTCGACACTGGACAAGGTGACCAATTGATTTTTCCCTCCCATACTCGCAGTTAAGTGTAGCGTCGGTGTGGTTGAAGCGGCGATGATATGCCGCAAAGTCCCCATGTCCAGTTCGAGCCGCGATTAAGCGGGCGTAGACCGCTCTCCGTAGCGCTAGTTCTGGCTGTTTCTTGCGCCGCATCTCGAGTTCAAGATCGGCGTAGTATTTGGAGCGATTCGAGAGCCATCAGTCTGTCAACATCTGCCTGGCCAGTTCACGGGATTTCCGTCCAGATGAGGCAAGGGTCATCACACCATGTGTCGTCCTAGAGTTGTCCAGCGAGTTAAGCACTCTTCGATCGAGTTCATCGGCGATTTCATTTCCTGTCAGCCTTTCGTGGCCCAGGATCCATCCTATTTTTACAGGCGCGGCTGATCTCGCGGCCATTTTCACGAACTTTTGGATTCGCCAGGATGATGGGCCTGTTTTTCCCGTCAGTAAAGCTTGAGCAGCCGCAGAATTATCGAGCAGGATGTAGATGGCGCTGCGTCCTCGATCTCGATTGCTGGTAGTGATTGCTTCTAGAGCAGCCAAAGCTCCATGAACCTCCGCGTCGTAGACCTCCGCATTGGTAATTTTACCTGAGCCGCTTTGCTCGATTGTCGTGCCTGTGCTGCTCATAAAAGTCACAAAGGCCCATGACACTCTGTCGGTTGAAGCCCCAGAACCGTCACTGTAAACGCAGAGACAGTCGGGTGGGAGTGTAGGCAGCCACTCTCGTCTGAACTTGGCAGCCTCTCTCTTGCTTGTCCAACGAGGAATTAGCTGGGAGGTACCGGAGGTCGGAGGATGTAAAGCGAGTCTTGTCTTGTTTTGTCTTGTTCGTTTACGTGCTAGGTAAAATGATTCCCGTTGCACTCCTGCTGGAGCTTAAGCACGTGTGGGGTTGGGCCGGATCAGGTTAGCTACCGTGAAGTACAGATATACCTCGTCCCACTTTAATGACCGGACCACCTCAGACTTCATGTTATGAATCTGAATCACGTGTCCATAGCCTTGACGTTTGCGTAATGGGTCTGTTTGACAAAAGCATGTACATAACACTTTCAACTACACATTAGTTAGACAGTATCATATACGAGCTACATTATTTATCAACAGTAATATCTTCTCTACATATCTCTGTCACACAGTGTACACTCACAACACTTCACCTATGTGTTGAATCATACCAAGCCTATCCGTCCAGAAACCCGCTGTATACACGCCGTAGCGCGATTTCCTCCTCAGCCTCGGCCACCACGCGCCCGAGCCCTTGACATCCTCATTGACTCCGAAATATAAATGTAGTCCTAGATCTCATCGTTGCTCTAGCCTTACACCTTCATATCGTACCGTCGGGTTGTTGTCGTCATTGGAGATTTGTGTAATCCCCTCGGTGTATCTTCCCTCTTCTTCCTCCTTTGTACACGTCCCGTTTCCATCATGGCTTTCCTTATTATGGCGTGTGTAGGAAGGTGATCGGACGGGTATGGAGGTAGGTCGCAGGTGTAGGATCGATTGAGAAATGCTTCGTCGCAAGTATAAAAGGAGTTTAACAGAAGTCGGATGTTTGGCTACGACCCCCAAACAGACCTAGACCCATTCGTGAATTGTATGTTGGTGGTGATGAGTTTTTAAACGACTTTGCTACAGCTGTGAAATCTCTGCCGACTGATTTTTCGACCAAAATATCGAGTGCAACTCCTTCAAGTCGAAAATCCATCAAATAAAATTCATCCCACCCTTTGTCGTGACTGAATCTCGGCTCTGGGAGAATATTTCACTCCCAGCTTCTTAGTGGACACCACTGACAGGTGTTCAGCCTTCGTCCTCCAAAAACGTAAAGCAAGTGACTCTAAGTCTGTAACAAGAGACCTACTTCAACATTTCACCTCTCCCCATTAGTCAGTAATTCATTGTGGGGCTCTCAGCGGGCTTGGCGTTGGAAATGGGAATGCTATCTTAGTACGCGAGGGTTGAACTTTTTCTTAGATAAATATGGATGAATAACGTCGGTTGTACCAACCTATCCAGTGTACGTAGCCGGCAAAGACGAATTCTTCACCTTCTAGTGGTGCCGGTGTAATAGCTCAGTATGCTCTGCATATCTGGGATAGCCAAGAATCGCATCCGAATCGAAGTCGAAAGCAACCTCAAACACATTTCCATTTGACGACTTCTCAATCATGCAGCACTCACCGTCATCTTCTGATTCCTCAACCTCTTTCTAACCACACATCATCTCGCCTCGACGAGCGATAAAGATGTCACCCCGGATGTAAACAGGAGCTTGCGTCATTCATTACTGGCCATCACTCACTACAAATTTACGACGCTACGTATACTCGAAAGGAGGAAATTAAGTCGAAAAATACAAAGCCTGCGTCTTGGCTTATGGGAGATTGTTGCTCTAATGGGACAAACAACTTGAGGGAGAACAGGCGGCTGAGATGTGGAGCGAGAGGGGGAGCAGGTCTATGAAGACCATGCTGGGACCGGTGTCTTAGAGGGGTTTTCAACTTTGGAATGTTTGTGGGCGCCAAAACCAAGATTTCAGCTAGTTAGCCAGGAGGACTTCTTTTGTCGATGAGTCAACGACACCCTCCAGTGCCCTGGACGGCACAAAAGAAGTCGGGCTAAGCTACTACACAGCAATCACGCTCTGTCAAAACTTTTCTGACCTTTCAGCACGACCTTCGGGAAGGGGTTAGAAGGAGGCTAGAAAGGTAGAGGGTGAGTTCCTCGAGGTACACACAAGTTTGCAGCGCCCAGCTGGCCAGCTTCTTCGAACGCTTCAGAAGTGGCACTATGTCTTTGGATCTAGTCCTAATGTCGGTGTTAGGAGAGCTCCGCACCCAGTGGTTTTTGCGACTTTTCCCGGCTGCCATACATTCGCAAATGGCCATCGTTTCGTTGGCTGGAGAGGGGAGATAATGAAGGGCAAAGGGCTCCTCAAAGTGTATGATCGAATGAGGACTTGTGAGGGGTGGTACTGTTTGAGGGGAGCTGTATGGGAGGCATAGGAGGGGTTACTACTGGTATAGGTATCCTTGGCCTGTAGGTAGAGAGGACCTACATGTCCTACATAGTCATAGACTCAGGCAGGACAATAAAATGAATTAATTAATTATCCAGCATACGTAACCTATGTGCAAGTAATATAATCCTCTAGAATAAACTGCCTGTAAGTAAAGAGAACCTAATTATTCTCCATAGTCATAGGCTGAAGGATTAAACAATAACAAAATATCATCTCGTATAAGCCGAAATTGACTGGCTAATTTCCCTTCTAATTTCCTATAATACTTCTAGCTAAATCCTCAAGGCTATTGATTATGGCCTACAAAGACTTGTTCTTAACCTCTCCCCCATTTTACCCACTCAGGGCAAGCCATTATCTTGTGCTTTGTAAATTGTAGCCGATAGCCGCATCGGCACCTTTGAATTCGGGTCGCGGTGAATTAATTTTTGCGAAATCAGGGTCAAAGCCCACTTTGTTCGCTCCCGGTTCGTGTGGCAATGTAATCATGGGCCCCGGCCAGTGTTCAATGGGGGGAAAGTAGGATCGTGATATAGTTCATCCTCATACTGCCCGTATTAATGTTCCTAGATAGCTGGTCAATATCATTTTGAATTTCCTTTCACGACCTTTGCCATGTGCTTCGTAATGCAATAAGGAATAAAGTGCGGGAGACTGAGAGGAGAGATGATGAGGGGATAGCCGCACCCTTAGTTCTATACTAGTGCCAAGGCCTGTAAGGGTATTGCAGCTGAATGGCAGACCTGCAAGAGCCGTAATTACTTCGGGCCTTCATATAGAAGTAACTACGTGATCAACCTAGTCATCGACAAGATGTAATAATTGATTCCATTTAACCGGATCAGGCACCCTATGGGTACATGCAGGTGACTATTTTCAAAGGAAACCAATTTGGTGAAAACCCCCTGATAATGCCTTTTTAATTACCATTAGCTAATCTAGTCTAACTTCAGGAAGTGCAGTTTACATTATTCAGCAAGTGCGGATCACGTCCTCTGTCTTTCTAGGCCGTTTTATTTTATCAGATATTGCCACCTAGACTTCCCCTGTCAGTCGAAACTGTTTTATCTATCCTTTGCTTAGTATCCACTGTGTGATTCTAGCCACAATTTCTGGGCTGTAGATCATTGCTTCAAATGACCTGTCTTTAGCTAGTCGTGGAGCCTTGCCTCTTCCAATTGCCCACCGTGAACACGCAAAGACTATGTGATTGAGGCTTTGTGACGGATATCCACATTGGCAGCTTGGCTTTTCTACTCCGGGGTACTTTTCACCTGCACAGATTAGAAATTGAGCCCGATATGCTGACTTCTTAGCTGAATGGCGACACTGCATTGGGCCCTATTTGCGTGATGGCGGTTATTTAAGGGTGTAAATCTAAAGCTCATTCTTGTACTGCCTGTTTGTTCAACGGTAATAATGTTCCAACATTGAACAATATTATTTTTACTAGGGTTTGGCCAATAATCTACTAAATTTTGCGCACTAAAATTCAAGGACCCATTATTCTAATCAAGCGAGTTCATAGCTGCTCAATGTGTTATGGACTTCCGCTGCCCCACCGCACTAGGACATTTGCAATTTTTCGCCACACCCCCTCATTCCACATAAACCTTCATCTCACCCCCTCTTTACCTGCGTAACAACCAGACACAAGCACGTTCTTGGGAAACTCCAACGCAGGTATCCCTTGAATTTCCTTTGGGCTTCTAACTTTCCTATACCGAGGATCACGAATAGAGACTTCGATTTGAAGGAACAACACGACTTTGACAAGCATTAATCAACTCAACCGCCATCATGGTCAAGTAAGTATTTTTATAAATTAGTTTCCTCGTGAAATTACAGGAATTGTTATTAATCTGATGGGTTACTCTATTCAATTCGTCCGTAAAAGCGATACTATAAATTAACAAATTCTTGTGCATGTCTACTTTCAGACTCTAGCTAATATGTGGGAAATTATAGCTTCACGATCGAAGAGGTTCGCGCCTTGATGGACAAATCCACTAACGTCCGCAATATGTCTGTCATTGCTCACGTTGACCACGGAAAGTCCACTCTAACAGATTCGCTATTATCTAAAGCAGGTATTATATCTGCTGCAAAAGCCGGGGATGCACGAGCAACGGATACTCGTGCTGATGAGCAGGAACGTGGTATTACAATTAAATCTACTGCTATTTCTCTATATGGAAATATGCCTGAAGATGATGACATGAAAGAGTTAACGCAAAAAACAAATGGACGTGACTTTTTGATAAACCTAATTGACTCACCCGGTCACGTTGACTTTTCTTCTGAAGTCACTGCCGCTCTTCGAGTGACTGACGGTGCACTGGTTGTTGTCGACACTGTAGAAGGTGTTTGTGTTCAAACCGAAACCGTTCTCCGACAAGCTTTAGCTGAAAGAATAAAACCTGTTGTCGTCATCAACAAAGTCGATCGTGCTCTTCTAGAGCTGCAAGTAAGCAAAGAAGATCTGTACCAGAGCTTTTCGAGGACAATTGAATCTGTCAACGTGGTTATTTCGACATATTTCGACAAGACTCTTGGAGATGTACAGGTCTTCCCTGAGAAGGGAACTGTAGCATTTGCATCTGGTCTTCATGGCTGGGCTTTTACCATAAGACAGTTTGCTCATCGATATGCAAAAAAGTTTGGTGTAGATAAACAAAAGATGATGGAACGTCTATGGGTGAGTTAGTAAATGACTGATGCCAACCACAAGCTAAATCTATCAAGGGAGACAACTTTTTCAATCCAAAAACCAAGAAATGGACAAAAAACGGAACACATGAAGGAAAAGAGTTAGAGCGTTCCTTCAATCAATTCATTTTGGATCCAATATTTAAAATTTTTTCTGCCGTTATGAACGTCCAGAAAGATGAAATAGCAAATGTTCTCGAAAAACTTAGCATTAAGCTGTCGCAGGAAGATAGAGAAAAAGAAGGAAAGCAACTCTTGAAAGTCGTCATGCGAACATTCTTACCTGCTTCCGATGCGCTCATGGAGATGATGATTTTGCATTTGCCCTCTCCGGTTACTGCTCAAAAATATCGTGCTGAGACTTTATATGAAGGACCTCCGGATGATGAAGCATGTATAGGTATTCGTGACTGTGATCCTAAAGCACCGCTCATGCTTTACATATCCAAGATGGTCCCTACATCTGATAAGGGTCGCTTTTACGCATTTGGCCGTGTTTTCTCTGGAACAGTCAAGTCTGGTCTCAAAGTCCGAATCCAGGGCCCTAACTATACACCAGGGAAAAAAGAGGATCTATTTATTAAGGCAATCCAGCGAACAGTCTTAATGATGGGCGGGAAGGTCGATCCTATTGACGACGTCCCAGCAGGCAACATTCTCGGCTTAGTTGGTATCGATCAATTTTTGTTGAAATCTGGTACTATAACCACAAGTGAAACGGCGCATAATCTAAAAGTCATGAAGTTCTCTGTCTCTCCCGTCGTTCAGAGATCTGTCGAAGTAAAGAACGCGCAAGATCTACCAAAACTTGTCGAAGGTCTAAAGCGTCTCTCAAAATCTGATCCATGTGTATTGACATTCATCTCTGATTCTGGACAACATATTGTCGCTGGTGCAGGCGAGTTACATCTGGAAATTTGTCTGAAAGACCTCGAAGACGACCACGCTGGCGTACCGTTGCGAATCTCAGACCCAGTTGTTTCCTTCCGTGAGACCGTCCGATCAACATCCCGGATGACTGCACTATCGAAATCTCCAAACAAGCATAACCGGCTGTACATGGTAGCTGAGCCACTAGCTGAGGAGGTGTCCCTTGCCATTGAAGCTGGTAAGATAACCCCTCGCGATGATGTCAAGACACGTGCCCGCCTTTTGGCGGATGACTTTGGATGGGATGTTACAGACGCTCGCAAGATTTGGTGCTTCGGACCGGATACCAACGGTCCAAATTTGTTGGTTGATCAGACAAAGGCTGTACAATACCTAAACGAAATTAAGGATTCAGTTGCATCAGGATTTCAATGGGCTATGAAAGAAGGACCAGTCACAGAAGAGCCAATGCGATCTTGTAGATTCAACATTATGGATGTTACACTTCACGCCGACGCAATTCATCGCGGTGGCGGACAGATCATCCCAACTGCTCGTCGTGTACTATATGCATCTGTTCTATTGGCAGAACCGGCGCTGCAAGAACCAGTCTTCTTGGTCGAAATTCAGGTTCCCGAAAATGCTCTGGGAGGTGTGTACAGCACGCTCAATATCAGAAGAGGGCAGGTGTTTTCTGAAGAGCAACGCCCGGGGACCCCCCTATTTAATGTTAAGGCCTACCTTCCGGTCTTGGAATCCTTTGGATTCAACGGAGTCCTTCGTGCGAACACTGCCGGCCAAGCTTTTCCACAGTCAGTTTTCGACCATTGGGAATCTATGCCTGGGTCAACTTTAGACACCGAGGGTAAGCTTTCTGCCGTCATTGCTGATGTACGTAAACGAAAGGGTCTAAAAGTACAACTTCCTGCATACGAAGACGTGAGTTATTATTCCATATTAATTGATTGAAAAATGCTAACTCTTTTATAGTACTACGACAAACTATGATTATTCCATCCGTCATTGCTTAATTCTTTTTGGCAAAGGATCTCATGGTAAACAAAGTGTAAACTACATAAGAAATTAGCAATCACGATTGCGAATAAATTTCCAAATTGGGGATATAGTACTACGGTGTCGATTAACAAATTTAGACACTTCTAGCCCTTATCTTTTTTTCCACAAATTAATCTCAAGAATTTTGTTGAGTTATTAGCGAGTATGCAGGCTTAAGTTTTGTTCTTTGCCGCTCAACATTCGTAGACTATTCAGAGATGTATACCCGCAAAATTCTACAAGATATACATGTAGCCGCAGTGTGAATAGTGCCATGACAATTTTGAACAGTTTTCATCAGTTTTAATCTAGGTACGGTGTGTGCAATAATTGATTTTCTTCATGCCCACACCAATGTCGGAATTTTTATTTTTTCTCTTTACCGAGGTATGTCGAGATATCAATTTGTGACACGTGACTTTTCAAAATTGCTCGACTGTACACAGACATCCATTTGTACACGCCATACGACCTTTAAATTTCAGTAAAACTTCCATTCTGTATTTGACTAGAAAAACCTATGACGTATGTTTGTTAACACATGAAAGTTTACTCCTGCCCGAAAGTACCCACCAAATGAGTCGTCTCAAAACCTTTCATTTTCCCAGTATATTATCGTTATCATGTACTTATTTAATTATAATATCTAAAGTAATGCCCACGCATAGCACGTGAGAAATTTATGCACCTGTTAGCCCAGTCCAAATTTGTTAGGGTTCACATTGTACAGGATTTCGGGACCTGGAATTAAACGAGTTTCCACTAAGCACGTCTGAGATAGTTGCAGTCAGAGCTAAATTCGGGGAACGTAGGTCTTACAAGAGTTTATAGCTTAGGATTACTCAAACATTAGTCTCCCCGGGCTATCATCAATGGTTACAGAACGTGTAACAGGCTAGATAATATTGGTGTTCTCCAGATAAGCTAGGAGTAGTGGGATTCATATAGATATCAACTTCCATAGACTTTAGAGCAGATCAGTTCATATCGTCTCAATTCATTTATGCTATTTCTAATTATTCACTCAATCTAATAATTATGAACCTGGAAGCTCTTTAGAACATACTAAACAGGTTCTTGGATTCTCGCTCCACAATTCATAGCAGCAGCTCCATAGGTTTTTGCGAATATTTTAACAAAATTAGCAGCGAGTCACGCATTCATTTGGACAATAAATTTTTATAAAGAGAAGCCTTTATATTTCCTATCTCACACCATGAATTCTGCTAACCAGTCCGCTGTAATTCGAGCCACAGTTGTCTTGAATAATCCGTAAGACTTGTTTGATTGGTTCTATATACGAAAGGACTCTTGCCGTCGCCATAATCTTTGGCAATTTGTAAACCCAGATACCCCGACTGAGCTAATACTTAAATTGGAAGAGTCTTCTTGGCCAGACATAAATAGCTACTTAGCGACTGCTAAATCGTTAGCAGATCTTCAGCCAGACGACCGTAGTAACTTCAGGTGGGATCATGATCTATATAAAAGAACTCTTCTTGAATTTAGACGAAAGACAGGGGTACTGGCGGGATTTAATCTTGAGATAAGTACGACTATATCTCAACGACGAATATATATTATACAGAACTGCGAAACACCTCATGAGCGTTTACAAGCTGTTAAGAAACATTTAGCGCCAGACAACGCTACTAGACTTCTTCAATAGTCATAGACTCGAATAGGATGTAAATTAAAAAAAACGCTACTAGACGCCATGAGCTCGCGACTAGTTATAATGCCCTCAAGACTCTTCCAGTTGTCTCTAACAAGGTTGAATCGTGGCTTGCGGACTGGACACGAATAACATACATGGGTCAAGTCCTAAAATTACCTGAAGCAGATGATATCAGACTACAGGAAGGTTTCCTTGTAGCTTGCAAAGCATTAGATCAAGAGTTCGCAAAGACATGTCCTCGGTCTACATGTAAAGCTGAAAATAATTATACGACTGATACGCCTCCTACTGTGGACGATTATGTAGTGGAGTTAACAGCCTACTTACGCCGTAATAAGTCGCGCTCTTCTAAATTTATGACTGTCGCAGCAGACCTAAAGTTAGTAGCTAGTTATAATCATGAAAGTGCTCAACATGCCAATAAGAAAAAAATACCCCAACATGTCTATGTGGTTCAAGGTATTGGTATGCGGATTTTTTGTAACAAACAGGGAACACCCAAAGCGACCAAGAGGATATAAGTCTCCACAGGCTGCCCAGAAAAAGGTAGAAGAGGCTTGAAAAGATCTAAGAATTGAAGCGAGGATAAATAATGCCCTTGACTGCCGGAACACTACCAATGGTCAATTCACAAGCTTGTATGGGGTTACTCAATTCATTCCTATTTCTTCTCCCTGTCAGGAGGAATTCTATAAATACATTGTTGCCTTTTTCTAAACGCTATTCCCTATAAGGAAAGGTCTCAACTCGACCCTTGTACATAACATTTTGTGAGCCAGTTCACACATTGACCGATGGAGAAAAAGATTTCAAATAGATGATAATATTCAGATAGACGACGGGCTTCCGTCTTCTGGAAACGATATCTATATTGCGTTTCTTTGAAGTGAGCTTCACGAAAATGAATTGAAATCAAACTCGACTCCCGCCATAGATCAAGAGGATTTTTTTATTGATGATAAGACTGATTGTTTGGAGAACTCAGTGATTATGGCTCTTCATGAAGACCATAGTAATGAATCCCTAACCCGATGGATTATTGATCCCGGATCCAACACGCATGTAATAAATAGTGAGTCATGGAAGGGATGGACGCGTGAGCGTGAGAATACTGAGCGTCGCACTATTAGTGCGGGCAACAGCCGTACACTTATTTCGACGTGGGAGCGTGTCGAAATCGTCACACGTACTCCTTAAACTTTGAACCTTGGTTTTGACACATGTTGCTCTTGTTGAAAGTATCTTAACAAGTGTTCTTAGCCTTGCTCGTTGTCGCTATAATTCCATTCATTTTGATTCTAGTAGGGATAAACTATACGAGTGCAAACTAAAGAATTTAGTTGCTCAGCTAAAGTATAACGGGGGGACACTGGCTTATTGGTACTGATCCATTACGACGACCTCATCAATTAAGTATTCCGAACTACTTAAGTAGCTATGGAACGTTACACCACTCACCATACGTTCCAAAGTCGCAAAATAAAATTGACCAATTTGTTGCCCATCAAATTTGGGGTCATCCGAGCAAAAAGGCAGTTTCTAACATCAAAGAGCATGTTGAAAATAAACTGAGAATATGCAGAACTCTTCGAGTGATCACGGAGAAATAACGAAGTATAAACTTCGAAGGGTATCTGTGGATGTGAATTATGTTTATAGTAAAGGCTTGATCGAAACTCCTGATCTTTACTAAAGGATATGAGACTATCTATATACATTGATGTCTGGCAATGAAATGGGCTAGAGTGTAATGCCTCATTAAGGGATACAACGGAACAAACTACAGACATGATACCAGTTACGCGTATTCTCGTCGCAGTCTCGAATATCTGACGTGACAAAAGATAATGGTGTAACCAGTAGCAGATAGGCGACACCCGACAATCTTAATGGACACATCTGAAACCACAAGCACGGGAGTGTCTAGGTTGGTTTCGCAACAGAGCATGTAATCGGAGGCTCGATTTTTTGGAGATTTTAAAGATTGCATATGTGAGGTATGCTCAGAAACACAACTTTCAAAGCTCGTATCGAGACGTCTAGGACTATATAAGGCAATGAAGTCTTTCTATCGAATAGGAATCGACTTTGCTTACATTGTTACTTTGTCAGAGAAGTATTGGAATGAAGACAAATGCATGTTACGCGCGGTTGACGAGACAACAAAATGGCATGAAGTGTCCGCAGTTAGAGTTAAATTGAAGCTAGTGATAATGCGATGGATAAAATCAGTCATTATGAGGATACAACGTATCTTTGTGTTGAAAATTCAGACTTTGTGTGTCTGAAGTTTCCCTATGATTGGGATAACAAAATTTCTCACACATGAGTCTCAAGGCGAGGTTAGGACAGTGTTCCACAGGGTGCGTATGTGGTCTAACGAAGATCTAGATGGTAGATAAATGTGATGAGTGGGTCGAAGGGATGACTGGTCTTCTCTAGGAAGAGACAAATAGGTAGATTTGTGTTGAAAATTCAGACTTTGTGTGTCTGAAGTTTCCCTATGATTGGGATAACAAAATTTCTCACACATGAGTCTCAAGGCGAGGTTATGACAGTGTTCCACAGGGTGCGTATGTGGTCTAACGAAGATCTAGATGGTAGATAAATGTGATGAGTGGGTCGAAGAGATGACTGGTCTTCTCTAGGAAGAGACAAATAGGTAGATAGTAGCGATAGAGGCTACACGTGGGTCTTGCTGATGAAGAGCTGGAAAGAGATAAATGGTCTTCCCGAAGAAGAGATGGGTAAACAAATGTATTGTTAAGGTAATTGAAGAAGACGTTGCGTGAAGAATAATGCTTCTTCACGCCGAGTATTTATATACATAAAATTACCAAATAGCACGTAGCACACAGCCCCTATGCCCAACAATCTGCTACACATCACCTAATGAAACCAGCCCATTCTTATCAGTCTTCCTTGCTGGTTTTAGAAGTGCATTGAACTATTATTTGTGTTTTAACTTAGCCGTCCGCATGGCGTTTCATAATACGCTATGCCACAATGATCCATGAAAATGAGTCACGACCTGACTCACGACCAAGATGATTGATATCTTCTTTATTGAGTATGTTTGATGCTTAAGACTCAACTAGTGCATGGTATGGTCTGATACCCGTGTAGGCTTTCATCCACTGACCATGACCCCATACTCATGTTGTATACTATCGTGCGATTCATTGTCATTGTTAGAGTGTGGAACGAGTAATGGATGGTATCTAGTTTGGATTTG